CCTCCTCGCCGTCCGATTACTCCCCGACAAATCCAAATCGGGCGGCGCTGCCTCTGCCACCTCGTCGTCGAGTGGAAGCGGGAAGGTCTGCACTTGCTCTGCTCGTCACCGGGAAGAGGTCTCCGATTCGGGGGCCGTAAGCGCGCCGCACTTGAACGGCGGGACGGGTACGGACGTGACGGAGAAGCCGACGACGACGGCGGCCGTACTGGAACGGCAGACGGGCGCGTCGATGATGGAGCAGCTGGTTCCGGAGATTACGACGCATGCCCTTAGCTATCTGGACTACCCGAGCCTATGTAGGCTTTCGATGACCAATTCGCTCATGCGGAAGGCCGCCAATGACGATAATGCTTGGAAGGCACTTTACCATAAGGTATGTGATTACTGAATTTGAATTGCATTTGAAGTATTTGAATTTGGGTGTTTGTTGGAATTTGATTTGAAGGCAAGGTGGTTGCCAATTGAAGGGATTAGTGTGTTTGGTTGCCGAGAAAATGTGGGAAAATTGGGACCCTTTATGCATCTCTATCAATCGAAAATCCATTGTGATTGTGTTTATAGTATTGGAACAATGGAATTGGGTCCCTGCATGTTACTTATGATACATTTTCTAACTTGGGAATGTGGTTTGACATGTGGGATGAGATTATGCTCTTGTATGGCCACTTTTGGTACATTATGGGTGCCTGAGAGATTACAAGATTAAACCATTTTATTTTCTTTTGGTGTCAGTTTCGGTTAATGGATATCCTTGGATTCAGTCTCCATATTATGGACGCATGATTCTTTAAATGATGAAATTCCTTCAATTTAAGCTTCCTAATGTGCAACCGTTTTGGTTTATGGATAACATGGGATTTAGCCCGAGAGATTGCTCGTCGAGACAGGTGCTGAGTTTAATTTGGAAGCAGCAATTTTGTCCGTCTTTGAAACCCTAATCCATGCCCCTTTTTTTATTTTTGGCATCCGATACCAAAAACATTTTGTAAGAATATTTTGTTATGGGTTTTCAAATTTTCTTTCAGGACTTCACATTGGAACAGGATAGCGTGACACCAGTTAATGGATGGAAAGCTTACTACGCTGCTACAAGAGTGATTGTGAATATCAATACCGAATTCTTTAACCATATCCGAGGAAGGTCACTTCCAGAAATGAGTCGTTTATGGTTGAATGCAGATTATGTGAAGTGTGTTCATGCCTCTGGAGAACTCTTTTCAGGGTAAGATGCCTCATTTGTGTGCAACGCTGTACAACAGCTGCATTTCTTTTATGACTGTTTTCTTCTGTTAAGTTCGTCCAAGTGATTGTGAAATTTTGTTTCTTCTTTCGTGTTAAGTTCGTCCAAGGAAGGAAACTTTGGTTTGTAGTTTGCACCTTATTAATATGACACCAGAGCTAAGTCGTTTTTGCTTCCTATTTAGGTATAATGCTGTTATACAGAGTTGGCAACTAGCATTTAATTGGGAGCAAGGGGTGAACTTTCAGATTCGAGATGTGTGTGCCCGGGTTCTGACAGATATGGCTTGGGTTACCATGAAAACCTTTGTTGAAATCGACACTGGGCTATTCAGTGTGACTAACGTCTATGAGTTCCATAACGGGCGATGGTACATGGTGCATCATCATAGCTCTGTGATGGATGGAGAGGGAGAACAGCAGATTGTGCAGGGGTAACAAAGAAGGGAAGATACGATGATACCGATTATATAACATAATACTAGTTTTAAGAAAATAGTGGTTTCGATTGCGGTAGAAAGTCGATTTAACTTTCGCTATATTTTCTCTGGAAAGATGCTTTCAATTTTTCCAACCTCAGTTTTGGTTGTTTTCTGGTCAAGAGGTTACCATTTCCTTTCTCTTTCTGTTATTGCTATTATCATAATTGTTCATAATTTGTTTTTGCGAAATTAATTAGTTGGGTATGAAAATGAGTTTGTGCGAGTGAGACGCTGAGATGCATATACATGAGGATTTCCCAAGATTTCCGTCTTGGGGCATCCTAGTATTTTTCAGTTCTTTGTCAATGAAAGATGATCCATAATCCGATGTTTTCTTAACAAAAAAAGGGCTAATGAAAGGTTGAGAGAATTTAGAATTAGAGAAAGCAAGGAAAGCTAGTGAATTTAAAATGAAAGTTAAGAGGTGGAATGATTCTTGCGCATGTTTAAACGCATGCAACTAAAAAAATTAAGCAATTCTAATACCTATTCCCTGTAATGGTCTGTGAATGTTGAAAACATGGACTGGAGATATGTGTTGAGTGTCAAGACCTGATTAATTAGTAACGAGTTTTGCAGCTTAAAACGAGGATGATCAATTAAAGCTCAATCGAAACACTATTTTTTCTGTGCGTGCTTCTGTTGAGTTACCATGTTGTATTGTTGTGCGTGATTTTGTCAGGTTTTGGTGAATTTAACCATGATTCCGAAAAGCAAGATAAAAGGGGTTGTCAGAGTAAATGAATAAATATAATAAGGTGAAGTAAAGAAGCATCTGAGGTTCCATGGTCTAGCGGTTAGGACATTAGACTCTGAATCTAGTAACCCGAGTTCAAATCTCGGTGGAACCTCCATTCTTTTTTTTTTTCCCACTTTTTCTAATATCAAATATTTTTGGTCCGAAAACAAAAAATGAAAGAGTGGGAAGGAAATTATCCAGCCCTCTCACTTCCCTCACACCACCACCACCACCACCACCACCAAGACATGGCTGCAATTCCATCCCTCCACAGCAACAATTCTCATCATAACCTCCTCCCCATTTTTAAATCTTCCATCCTTCCGTATTCACCTTCCTCACCTTCCTCAGTTGCAGAAGATCATGATTCCCTACAGCTGCCCAATCACCATCCCCCACTCAACAGCTGCCCCTCAGGTACTCCAAATCTTTCACCTCATTTTATCACAAACCCACCAATTTTAACTTTTATTTCTTCCACTACCTCATGTAATGACACTACTCTCTTCTCGCACCATCCCATGGCTCACAACTTCCGGATTCCTCGCACAAGAATCTCTCCTAAAAAAGGAAAAACTTTTCTTTTCATAGTAGCTAACATATTTTGGATGTGGTTTATATAAATGAGATTAATACTTTTACCACTTTGAGGTGAGAACATCACAACCAAGGAAGAAAATATCGGTAATATCGGAAATATCGGTAGTCCGAAAACACGGAAATATCAATGGAAATATCGGGATAATATCGATATCGATAAAAATTACATGGAAACCACAGAAATTGTAAGAAAAACTTGGAAATTTTTATTGAAACTTTGCAGGATGTTTATTTAGTCAATTATCTATTAGTTTATCACAAAAAAATGGAAGTAAATGCATTGCATGATGGATTTAACATTATCAAGTTGATTATATAGCGAGCTGACAAACATTGTGAGTGTAGAAAACATGTAGTAATTAATGAAAGAAGTCTAAACACACCATAATCATTTATATATAATGAATTAGTACAATATTTTACACTTTATACATTGCATGGTAAGATACATGAGTGACTTAGTACCACATAGAGTTCCTGTGAGGTTCAAAATTTTCACTATCTTCATCATCTCTATGTGTAGAGTGAGTGTATTGTGAAGAGTAGTTATCAAATGATAAATCCCCAAAATAGTTTTGCATGTAATTGTTAACATGCCACCCATATGGATCCGAGATTGGTTGACGTTGTCTATAAGCAAAATCATTTGAAGATTGAGTCTCGGATTGTTTCCATGAGTCGCTCGATTCCATCCCAACAGGAATAGGATATGAATGGTAGGGAAATGGTTGGTTATGAGTATTACCATAGTTACTACTTCCCACTCCAACAGAGTCCGAAGTTCTAGATAACGAGTCATCTTCTTGACTTGAGAAAATCCCCTTGCCTCTTTCTCTGCGAGTATAGTCCTTCCCTATGGCACCAATTCCTGGTCCTGCCCGCCTACTGCCATGGTCATCATCCTGTGTTGCATGCGTGAAGTTTGCCTCACCAGTGAAGGGGCTCATAAATTCGGGAGGTGGTCCATAATAGTTTCCATATCCACCACCACTACCTCCAGCTCCACTACCTCCAGCTCCACTATGTCCTTCATCATTCCCACCTCTGGTGGTAGGTAAGTCTCCTGATCTTGTACTAAAGCTATCATTAGTATCAGCACGATGTTGTGGCTGTGTAGGATTGGAAGAAGGTGGAATTCCAATGTTTCTTGGTCTTGGGCGCAAAAGTTCTTCCAAAGAGTCAGCGCTGCTAGATCCCACCTACAGCTGCCCAATCACCATCCCCCACTCAACAGCTGCCCCTCAGGTACTCCAAATCTTTCACCTCATTTTATCACAAACCCACCAGTTTTAACTTTTATTTCTTCCACTACCTCATGTAATGACACTACTCTCTTCTCTCACCATCCCATGGCTCACAACTTCCGGATTCCTCGCACAAGAATCTCTCCTAAAAAAGGAAAAACTTTTTTTTTCATAGTAGCTAACATATTTTGGATGTGGTTTATATAAATGAGATTAATACTTTTACCACTTTGAGGTGAGAACATCACAACAATGTGATGAAAGTAAGCATATGATCCACTCAGTGTATCCTAATTTCATATTTTTGTGAGGACATCCTATTGATGACAAGACCACTCGTTCCTACCCAAATTTTTCTTCAAAGTAAAAAGTCGTAAAATGCTATCATTTAATATTACGGTCTAGTAGTATTCTTCTTCACTTGTAAGTGAGAAGCCTTAGTTCGATTTTTGTCGAATGAGAATTTGAACCACATTATTGCTAACTCATTGTAAGGCTAAACCCATCCCCTTCGCCTTAGTGTAGAAAATATCGTCTGTTTAGAAGAAGAAAAAAAAAAGGTCAGTAAAATGCTTTTACACTTGGACCAGTAAAATAGTGAAACGTGGGTGCATAACTGTACTCCATTGCGCACGGATAAAACGGCACCCCCAAATATACAAGAACACGGGCCCACAATGACACAGAGCTTCCCCAATTAAGCCAAAAAGAAGAAAACTCATAGATTTTTCTGCGCCACAACCGAAAATAAAATTAAAAATGGAAGCCGAAACGGAGCAGAAAATCGAGGAAACGGTGCGGAGAATCCTGGAGGAATCGGACATGGACGAGATGACGGAGTTCAAGATTCGGAAGCAGGCGTCCCAAGAGCTGGAGCTCGACCTCTCCAAGCCCCCATACAAGGCGTTCGTCAAGCAGGTCGTCCAGTCCTTCCTCGACGAGCAGAATCAGAAGGAACAAGAAGCAGCGCAGAAGGACCAAAACCCAGAAGCCGATGGTGCACAGGAACGGGAGTACGATGATAACGGCGATCTCGTGATTTGCAGGGTCAGCTTTTTCTGTTTGTTTTCGGAGAAAATTTGAATGGAATGGATTTTCTGTTGTTGGGTTTTTATTTTTTTGTGTTTTTGTTTAATGGGGTTTTGTGGTTTCTGGGTTATGATTGTGATATGCAGCTCTCGGCAAAGAGGAAGGTGACGCTTCAGGAATTCAGGGGGAAGAATTTGGTGTCGATTAGGGAGTTTTACTTTAAAGATGGGAAAGAGCTTCCTACTGCCAAAGGTGATTTACTTAACTTTAATCCGATTATTAGCAGCTTCTAATTCTCTGTATTTATATCAGGAAATGATTTGAGTTTGTAGCTGCAAGTTCTGATTGTAGAGGTTAATTACTATTCATTTGTATGGACTTGTTGATGGATGATGCAATGCCATCATTTTCGCATCATATTGAGTAATCGTGTTGTGATTAGCTTTTGTTTCGTGTTTACATTACTTTTGAATGCATTCCTGGGCTTCATTTTGTACAATCTGACTCGAGAATGTGTTCCTTTTGGCTAACATAAGTTATGGGTTTGCTCGTCGACTTGGTAGTAAAGGATCAGTGAGGGAATATGAAGAAAGAGGCCGAGTATCAAACTGGTCATAGTAAACTACCAATGCTAATTGCTCTACTTCGTTTTGTGCATTGTTTGTTTACAGTCAGTGATGGTAGCAGTAGAGTGGCTTTCAGTCACTTTTTTTCCTTATATTTTTCATACCCCTTTCTCCCTGATTACCTTTGCACCGAAATTGAGCGAAATATTGCTTGTTTCTAGATTTCTTAAGCGTTGGATGTATGGATACCGGTGACGGTCTTTAGTTTGTCTACCGTGGTATTTATGTAAACTTCTGTCTGCAGGAATAAGCTTGACAGAGGAGCAATGGTCAGTCTTCAAGAAGAATGTACCTGCTATAGAGAAGGCCATTAGTAAGATGGAGTCAAGAATCTAGTGAGAATATAGCATCTGGAAATTTCAAAATCCTTTTTAATCTATATTACGTTGTTTGTTGTGATGAAATGACTTGGCTTAGGCTTTGGGGCTTCAAATTGGTCACTTGATGTCAGAATATGTTGTTTAGAACTCAAATACTGCTGTCATGTTTCTAATTAGCCCATCATGTTACGAAAACAACCTGTTGTGATCTCTGTTATCTACCGAAAGTTTGTAGTTTATCTTTGAAACCCTAAGTAGAATGTCCTAGCTGATATGAAGTGTGTTGTTCAATTGTTATATGCTATCTCCCCTGTTTAGTTCAAGCATTCCAACAAGGAAGAAAAGCTAGGAGGAAATAAGTAAAACATAAATGGAGGATGCTTTTTTCCTTCGTCTTTTCGAGGATTAAGGAGTTATCTGAAAAAAAAAAAGAAAAAAAAAAGAAAAACACAGACAGCAATACTCATACACATCGAACCGTTCATAAATCCCTTGCCTTCGTCATATGTACAGAATACTAATACAAAGTTCACAAGGTAATCGAACATAATAACTAAATTGATGTTCTCAATCAAGCCAAAAAGTAGTTTTTTTAGCCCTCTAAAACATTGATTTGCCCTTAAAAATCTGAAAAATACTGGGTCAGAGAAGTATGATGTTTCATATGACCCAGCCTTTGTCCTTTCCAGGACCAGGGTCAGTGGGAGGCACCCTTAAAACAAGTTGGAGAAGTTAGACTTCCTCCAACCACCACCTCCTCCCCAAGGGCTCTTTGTCTTCTTTGGAGTGCTTGCCCAGCCTCCACTTGCAGCCATCCTCATCGTCTCAATCAACGCCCCAGCATCGCCATTTTCGGAAAATAACTCCTCCAATTGCTTAGTCTCGATCACCAGCTTCACCCTCCAAACCCCGTCTCCACCAGAAGGCAGCACCTCAAGAGCCGATGACCCTTTCGCCAAATTCTCCACGAAATCTGATCCTGCACAAAATGACTTCTTCACTGGCTCAGCTTCAGCAGCCTCCATGACTCCAACTTCTGATCCTGCACCACATGACATCTTCACAGGCTCACGTTCTGCAGCCTTCTCCAGGACTTCAACTCCAAGACCTGATAACCCGTTCACCAAATTCTCCATGAAATCGGATTCTGCACCAAATGACTTCTCCACAGGCTCAGCTTCTGCAGCCACCGGTTTCTCAGCAACCCGATTTCGGCAAAAGGGTTGGTCTGCCTTCAGTGGAAGAAGGTAGTACTGGCCACTAGTAAGGGTTTCTTGGTCAGACATTGGCAAGGCGGCCTTGCCTTGTTGGAAAATGCCATAGCGTGGAAAACCAGTGAGGATTTCAGCAGCTAGTATAGGGCCTTTAAATTCTAGGACACCCCCAGAATCTGTAAGAACCCTAATAGATTTAGGACACTCCCCAGTGGTTCCTTTGAGAGAAGAACAATTCCCCATTTGTGAAATTATTTTTCCCACCTATGGCCACAATTTCAGTGCCCGTATATATTTAAGGTTTTGGAATCTTTTGGCAAGATATTAGTGGACAAACATTGGATTGGAGGGTTGTCAGAAGAGATACAGATTGTGTTTTTGTTCAAAATATGTAAATGGATGCATGTGAAATTTTGGACCGTTGGGACAATTATTTTAGGGTCAAATTTCGAGTTGATCCAAGGCGAAGGAACCGAGTAAGAGGTAGAGTCGTGAGTTAAAATAATAGTAGGAAAATACACACACACACATGTAATATATGTAGCATCTCTTGAAATTAGGTTGTCAATTTTGCAAATATGTTCAATGTATCAGCATCACGGGTTGAATAGAAGGGTGCATCTATTTAGCATCTCCGAAAGAAGCTCTAAATTTCTATTAAATTAGTTTGAGTAGTGATTCACACACTTTTTCATTTGTTTGAATAATACTTGACTACTCAAAGAATAAGTAGAAGATCCTACTCAAAACTTTTCGTTTTTTATTCATAAACCTCCATGTTTATATAAGAGCAGTTTATATTATAAATCACTTTCTAAAGATCTTGTCTACAAAAAATCAATTAAAACTAAAATTATTTAGTCATCCAATTGTATAAGAACCAATGGATGGAAATGGTAACAACAATACGAATTGTCTATCTATTTGTTACAGTTGATTGAATTAACGACCTTAGTTTTAATTCATTGTTTGCAGAGATGATATTTACAAAGTAATTTATAATATGAACAACTTCGATTTTTAGCACAAAGTTCTGTAAATCAGACACGAAAATTTTTGAGTAGAAGTTCTTACTCATTCTTAAGTAGCCAAACATTGCTCCTTTTGTTTATCTGCATACCATGAAAAAACATAAACATATTCATCTATATGTTGGAGCTGAAGAGGTAAAACAATAAATAGACAAATTTAGGTTAAAGATATATAGCTCATGTTTTCGAGTTTCAATTTTTTTTTTTTTAAACAAACGATATTATCTACATTAAGGGAGAGGAGATGAACATAACCTCACAATGAATCAGCAATAATGTAATTCAAATTCGCTTTTGGTGAGAATCAAGATGAACTTTAAGTTTTAAAATAAAAACGAGTAAAGCATGCAAAGAGAATAGTAATAAGTACCAGAGCTGTATTTGGCACAGTGGCGAAGTGAACAACCAAGTTTGCAGAAATGAATAGTCTGATCCACAACGGTTGCAGCCTCAGCCGTTCCACTCATGTTTTAACTTTTCTTCAACGCATTCTGCAGTGAGAGGCAAACCGCAATCTCGAAGACATCTTTCGAGACATTTTCCGTCCACTGCTAGTGTAGGTCTGGTGCTTAAGAGAGAGATTATCATCATAATCACCACAAAGCTTGTATGGGCGACGCCATTCAACTTTATTTTGATAAATTTCGAACTTAAAAGTCAATATTTGACGGTTTACTATAATTTTCAAAAAGTTAGTGTGCCAATCCAGGAGCCCAGGGACACCTTTATACAGGTTTCACTGTCTTGACAATATGTAATTTTAATCCCTTCATGTGTATAAGGAAGCTACTTAAAGTTTACATATTAACAGAAAGATTAGGTAAACAAGTAAAAATTTATTTTGAAATTCGTAGTAACATCTTTGAACGGATATGTTTAAGATAATGCTAAGATCACATTTTTGCACCACACCACCGTATGTGACAGTATATGTGAACATGCCACATCAATTTTTTGCACCACACAACCTTAGATTTGTATTAATTGGTGCATGATACCGAATAATTTCTCTCAAATCTCAATATTGTTGTCGAACTACGGAAGCAAATCGAAAAGATAGTGAACTGTATAAGTCACAGACCCATGCCGGGCTTGCCGTGGAAGCAGGGATTTGTAAGTCGTCATTTACTGATGACATTCTGAAAGCTAAAAAACCTAGCAAATTCACTCAACCAAAGTTCAAACTGTTTGAAGGCATGACTGACCATGTCAAACACATTTACGATTTCCGGCAACAAATGGTTCTCAAAGGGGATGATGAAGCTCTTCTATGCAAGTTTTTCGCCTCAAGCCTTTCGGGATCACTCCTAATTTAGTTCAGGCAGTTGAAACTAAAATCCATTGCAATTTCACAGAACTTTACAAGGGCGTTAATATCTCAATATAGCGAAAAAAGGATGCCACAGTTTTGTTCAGCACAAAGCAGGATATGTAAACGGTTGCATGTGAAATGTTGGACATTGGTACCAATTATTTATTTTAGGGTCAAATTTTAGTTGATCCAAGGCAAAGGAATAGAATAAGAGTTTGATTTGTGGATTTGTTTTTGCCTACAAATGTTAGGTGTTTGGTTTTTAGTCCGTATAAATTATAGGCATCTGTTTGGCTCTTCAATTTGACGAACATGTTCAATGTATCAGTATCACAAGGAAAATAGTGAGAAGTTTCGATAATTTAACGTGCAGTTTTGACCTGAGTTTTGATTAACTAAAATGAGGAATCAAATTTGAGACTTATGTAAAAGTGAATGCTAATATAATAACCAATTCAATTTCAAGTACTTTTATACAGAGATAAAATTTGTTATAGGAGTTTTGAGCACACAAGAGTAAAGAGTTTGAGGTCCCCCAAGTAAATGGAGCGACAACGCAATGAAGTGAATGCATTCAATTAGGGGTGGGTACGGGCAGGCCCTAAATTTAGAGACACTGTACCAAACTCATTTGGGAAGAAAAAAAAAAAGGTCGGGGCAGAACAGATCGTATTATTTTGAAAATAGGACTGGACTTAACCCAAACGGACCAGTTCCTACGGGTCCACAGGTCTTTGAAATACACGTTTTTCTAAAGTGCAGATCTTATGTGCCGACCAAATATGGTCCATTGAATATAATTTGAATGGTGGAAAACGATTTTTTTCCAACTTAAACTCTTCCTCTCCCCAACAGCAATTACCATTCTTAAAGATGTTGTCCCCCTTGCCCAAAACTCTCTCGAAAACGATTCCAAAAAAATTTCAGACTTCCTCCCTGTTCGAAACTCAATCGAAGTTGTCTCGTGCTTGTCGTTTCCAGCCGGCGTTCAAAACTCAGTCAACTTCATCACCACACGGTTGAAACTCAAGCGAAGTTTGTTCGAACTTTTTTCCAGTCGGTTCAACCGAAAGGAAATGGTGCTTGCTTCCTTCGAGTCGCATTTAGAGTCCTTGCACAATACTCGACGTCATACTTTTTCCTCAAAGTCAATTTGAAATTTGGTGAGTTTGGAAATTTGATACCCTATAAATAAACATTGCTACTTCCGTTGAACTTGATTAATTAGTTAAGTGTTTAGGGTTAATTATGCATGTCCGTTGATGAAATTAGTTGAAATTTGGGGAGATATTTGGAATTTTTGGAAAATTTGGGTGCGATATGTGGTTATGAAGTGTTGTTGATAGGTTGTGTATAGGGGCTATTCGTTAACTTTTGTTTTGTTGAATGAGTCGGGCACATTTGAGAGGATGATGAAGCTGTCACATGTGGAGAGAGGGGTGGGGTGGAAAGCGTGCGACGGGTGTGGTGGGACCAGGTTTGTGCCATGTATAGAGTGTGGTGGGAGTTATAGGGTGGTGGTTGGGGATAAGGGAGTAGGATTCTCTCCCCTTCCCTCTCTTGTTCTCACACTTTCCTTTTTGTGTTTTTCTCTTGATAAAAAATTCAAAATAAGATGTTGACGTGACTTAATTCATACCGTTTAAATAGGAGGGAAATGAAGGGAAGAGAAATTAGACGGAGAGAGAATCCTACTATGGGGATAAGAGGGAGAGGTGCCCCCAAGTGTAACGAGGATGG